TCATCGAGCAGGTGGAAGTAAGAGTTACAAAGCTTGGAACTAGCTTGGAGCATGGCACTGGACCTTTCTTGCTTAAGGAGGATGCAATCCAAAATTAAGTATGAGATGTTGCTGGTGGGATCAAGTTGAAGGATGAGACTTTTAGCTATAGGACATGATTGTCGGATCTTCAGCTTGAGGACCTCACTGAAGTTGCGGGACTCCTGCTGGAGGCTCGCGCTGACGCGGATTCAGCAGACCTGCATGGGGAAACGCCTTTGTGCATTGCCAGTGACAACTTGGCCTGGGTTGAAGAAAGGCTTTGTGGTGTATAGATATGTAATATATATATATATATATATGCTAGCCCCCCCAAAAAAAACCTATGTTTCTGAGTGCTGGTGTGCAATTGGTAAGCATATTTGTTCATTTAACTGTGTACTATAAAAATGTCCAAATCCATAAGGTTATGTGTTTACTAAACAGTTCTTGGATGGAGTAATCTAATTCATTGCAACTCCATGCCAAACCATATGTCTTATTTTTAGGGTGTGAATTGTACTCTCTTATTAAATGCAGTTGAGCAAGTACATCATAATCAGAAGGCAAAGAATTGCAAACCCTAAATTAAATTCCAGTCTAATTCTAATTAAACTTAAATTCCAATCTATTCAACTCTATTCTATTTTGAATATTCAACTTCAAATTTGAATCTATTTCAATGATTTGTAAATTATATGTTGATTCAAAGGTCTATCACTATAGATTCTACTCTATAGAGCGGTGTAATTTACTTGGGATTCAATGCAAGCCTAATTTTAATTTGATTTCAAACTAATTCTAACTTCATTGCTATACAAGTCAGATTCACTTCTAATAGTGTATTCTTTTTCAATTTAGTTTTAATTTGAGTGAAATTCTCATTTACTTCTAGAGAAGTGGTGTTACTTTTGAACATGAGAGATTTTATGTAGTTTTTCATATAGAAGAATGTGCTTTCTTAAATGAATTAAATTCACCACCAGCAACACCCACTCTCTATAGAATTAGAAGTCCATATGCATTGAACTAGAATCAGAATAGGATGAAATTAGACATATAGAAACCAAACCTAATTTGCAATGACAATAGTGTAAAATTAGATGTGTAAAACAATTAAATCTGAACCGTATAAAGGCATTAACATTTGAAATTAATTACTAGTAGATTGGAAGAATCAAAGTCACAATTGCACCCAAAATAGAATGAAATAGAACTAAATTAGAAGTAGACTGGAATTAAATTAGAGTTGAAAGAAAAACATTGAATAATAATCCATTACTTAAATTGAAATTGACTTAGAACTGAGGTAGAATTGAATTAGAGTTGTTTTACCTAGAGCTTGGTTAGTAGAACAGTATTGACTTAGAGCTAAATTGTAATCTAAGTTCAATTAGAATTGAACTAAATCTAATTTGCAATCTCAATTTGATTTCAATTATATAAAGTTCAATTAGGATCATTTTCTATTTAAATTAGAAGCACGTTGCAGATTCAAATTTAGATTCAAGTTTGAATTCCATTAGATCTAAAATAGCCAAACATAATTAGAATTACAATAGAAATGATGAAATTAGAATAAAAACTGAATTGGAATTTGTCTATACAATGAAGTTAAGCTAAATAGACTTAAATTTGAATTCAATTAGGCTCAACTTAGGCTTAAAGTAGAACTATGTTACATACTCAAATTAGAATCCATTGAAAGTTCAATTAGACTTCAATTAGACTTAACTTAGAAAATTACATAGAAATACAAGTGATGTTAAATTGGAATAAGAATTGACTTAGAATTTAGTTAAATTGTATGTGCACTAAAATTCATAGAAGTAAATTAGAGTTGAATTAGTTGTTAATTAGAATTGAACGAACAAATGTCGGTAATCAGTAATATTCCAGGATCAAAATGTACTTAGTGCAATTTTGTCACTACCAGAGAATGCCAGAGAATGCATTCCTGCCCAATACCAAGACCAAGATCCAAGATTTGCACAGAAGTCTTGTGGAAAATCTTGGAAATACCAAGATCCAAGATCCAAGATTCCCACAAGACTCCTGGCTAAAATCTTGGAAATACCAAGAT